CCAGGCATGGAGGACGTGGCTGGCCTGAGCAGTTATTATTTTGGTTGTTGTCTTTGATGTGCCAAAGAAATGATGACACAGAAGCCTGGGGCCTGGCTCAGGAGCCAAAAACTTGTTAGTGATTAGAGAGGGGATAATGGCCCCATGGAGTTTGTCATTGTGTGTGTAGAGCTCAGAGCTGCCAACTCTCTCTGTCCTGGGGCTTTGAAGACATTTAGAGCCCCCTGAGTAAGCACCCCAGGGAGCTGGGTATATGCAAAGGGCCAGAAGTTGCAGGGTGGCCTCTCACCAGGGTCTCAAGTTAAGTGTCCCCTCACCCTTAAGGCTCCTCCTGCTGGAACAGACTACTGTGGGTCTTCATGACCCAGAAATGGAGAGAGGGGTTCATCGTCCTTCCAGCTCACTCTCTTACCGACCTAGGTTGCAGACTGTCCGGCCTTTGCACCAGCCCCTGAAATGTTGTCTTGGGCCCTGATGTTATTCTCAATTTGTATTGGTTGCCAACCTTTAAAAATTAAGGGATTTCATATAAAAAATGTGAATTTCTGGATTCTCTTGAAAAATTTGAAGACTTGGCAACACCATTCCTGCATTCCCACAGTTGACTAGAGTTGTGGAACCGTGGCCACCATGAACAGCGTGAGCATCGGCTCTGTTATACCTCCCCATTACTTCTCCCTGAGGGACCCCACACTCAGCCAAGTCAGCGGCTGTCGTTCATCCAGCAGGCAGCAGAGCAATGTGGCTAGAAGTGTGGGTTTCACAGTCATGCTGTCTCCAGTCAGATCCTGGCTTCACCCTCCTGAGCAGTGTGGTCTTGGGCAAATTACTTAAACTCTTGGTGCCCCAATTGCCTCATCTGTACAATGGAGATGATATTACAGCCCGCTTCATAGGGCTGATGTGTGGATTAAATGAGATTGAATTAGAGTTGCACAGAGCAAGCACTTGATAGATGTTAGCTACTGTTGTCATCTTTGCCATCATTATTACTGTACTGCCCCCCTTCATCCATTTATGTCACCTGCCTGGCCTCTATAGGCATCTGAGTTTGGACTGGGCCCCTGAAGGCAAGGATCTGCTGTCCTCATCTTCTCATTTGACAGCCATCCCAGCGCCTGGCACACAGCAGGTGTGTCCAGTGAGTATGTGTTGAGTGACTGACTGAATGAGTTGGGGAGAGAGTGGTTTGGGGTAAGGGCTTGGCCTGCTTTCAAATCTGTGCTCTGCCCTGATTCATTCCCTAGCTTCTGTGTACCTCAGTTTCCTCACCTGTAAGATGGGGATAATAATGGTGTCTGCCACACAGTATGAGAAAGGACTAAGTGAGAGACTGTGTAGATCACTTGGCTTAGTTCACACATGGTGATCCTCAGCAAGATGTTGGTGTCATCTCTGATACCCATTCCTTCCTTTGGTTGTGAACACTGAGATGTTTTACCTTCCGCACCTTCCCTCCCTCTCCTTGCTTTCTCCCTGTTCCTTTGCATCCAAAGAGTTTCACTTTGGAGACTGTAGCAGTCCAGACGCTTTCAGTTGCAAGTAATTGATAACTTCACTCAACTAATAAAGCAGTAAAGGGGATCTATGGCCAAGGATAGAGGGAAAAAGTTCAGGGGTAGGGGAGGCACTGGCTGTCTCTCTTCTCTGTGACTTTCTTGGCTCTGCCGTCCTCTGAGTGGACTTCAGCCTTAGGCTAGCTCTGTTAATGGTCACAAGATGGTCATAAAGGCTCAACCTGGGTCACTTGCCTGTATCTGAATCAACCATGAGATCGTGCTGACTGGCTCCCACCCCTGGAGTTGGATCTGTGGTCTTATCCACCAAATTGCAGGGCTGGGAGCCAGTGGAAGACCTGACTATTTCTGAGTTATGGTAGCAGGGCCATGCAGGAGATGCTTGAGAGGCTGCTAGCTCCTCTGAGGCTGTGACCCCACTCAGGTTAGCAGAGACACCTGGGCAGGTACCCTGGAGTGGGTGATGCACCTTGAAACACATGTTGTTGATGCCAAATATGTGACCAAGAAGGTTGGCATTAGTGAGAGTCACCCCTCAGTAAAGCTAGGATGTCAGATTGGTCTCCTAAGACCGGGGAGCAACACTGTCTCCATCAGGGCCAGCGGCCATTCTTCTGTGTGTGTGCATGTGTGTGTGCACTTGTGCTCCGTAGACTGACATGCCCACTGCCCCCTGAGGCTCTTGAGCAGACATTGCTCCGGGTCTGTGGCCCCTGGAATGACAGAGTACTGCTTGGGTGACAGCTTGGGAATGATGACCTCCCTGTACTCCACACCCTTGCACAGAGAGAGCTGAGTTTTGTGAGTGAAGGGCAGGCAGAGGCTGCTGATCCTGGGTAGGTGGGCTTATGTTGAGACCTCCCATTGCTGCTCTTAGCCTCTGGAACCTAGGACTATAAGAAAGTGCAGAAAACTCAGGAATAGAATGGCCTCTGTTTCTCTGCAAGTACTCTACAGCAGAGAGAGAGAGAGAGAGAGAGAGAGAGTGAGTGAGTGTGTGTGTGTGTGTGTGTGTGTGTGTGGTTTCCAGACACAGCTGACTTGGTGGGTTTTGGCGACAGACTCCAGGATGTTGGATTGCATCCTGATTGTGTCACCCTTGGAAGAAGAGGATGAATAAACACATAGCCTTCTCTGCAAGCACAGCACGCCTTAAATTTTGAAGATTTTCAGTTTCGCCTGAAAAGAAAAAAGCCCTGGACTGACTATTCTGCCCTCCATTTGATCCTCAAGCTGCCATGAGCAGGTGGAGCAGAGATTAAATAATGAAGTCCTGTGTAAGGTGGGCAGCCGGCCCAATGCAGTAGCAGTTCAGGATGATGTTCAGTAACATATAAACAGCAGTGTTGTCTAGCGTGGGCATAGTGAGGGGAGGGGAGGAAGAAAGGAAGACTTGATCACCCCCAGCCTGCAGCCAACTTCGAGAAGCTTAAGGAACAGGTGGAGAACCAAGATGCATAAAAAAGGATAACCAAAAGTGCAAGGAAATGGGGTCACTGCCAAGTGAGGGTTCTGGAATGTAAGCACTTAGGGGCCAGGTAAGAGCAGGTGCCAGGGAGAAGGTAGTATGAACTCTAGAGCCCAGGAAGGGCAGAGTTTGAAAAGTGAATTCAGAGTTAGCCAGCTGGCTGGAACCGAGCCTGTGAGGAAGGCTGGAATGCTAGGCTAAAGGGTTTGGGTCTGACCTGGCATCCCAGTCTCCATTTACTGTCTTTTTGTGTGTGTGTGTGTGTGTGGCTGGCCAGCATGGGGATCTGAACACTTAACCTTGGTGTTACAAGGCTGCGTTGTAACCAAATAAGCTACTGGCCAGCCTCCATTTATTGTTTTTGATGTGGTAACCAGTGAGTGGAAGCTGTCTTTGGGACTTCCTTGTCAGGTTATGTTTGCAGCCTTAAGGGGACCTGGGTTTGGTTTGAGTGAGGATAGTGAGGTGTGATGCCCTGGGAATAGGCCATAGGGAGAAAGTATCAGCTGTAAGAACAGAGGTTCTGTTGAGAGTCATTGGAGAGAGCAGGTTTAGGGGTGACCCTGACTTGTTTGAGGCCCAAAGGGGCCACGTGGGAGTCATCGATGTGTGGCTGCAGTGGGGAGGTGGGCATATGTAGTGGAGAAGGGGAGGCTGAGTTTGAGTGCCAGAGAGCTCTGGTTGGAAGGAAAGAATGGCAGAGGGGTTCAGGCCGAGGCAACAGGCTGCGGCTGCAACGAGGTCAGATGCTCAGGTGCTGAAGAGATCCCTCTGTGGCCAGTGCCGTCCTGTCCAGTCCTGAGCCGCTCTTCCCACTGTGTCTGTACCCACATTTGCATAAGGGCTGTCACCACTCTGATGAGTAGCTCCTGTGCTGTCTTCAGCTGGGCCTGCTTTCTCCACTCTGGAGCTGGGGGCAGGGTAGGCAGGTGAGACTGAATCTGCTGCCCTTTCCTGTCTTTGCTCTTTCTAGCTGGCAGTCAGGGCAGAGGAGCTCAGGAATGGAGGAGGCATGTTTCTGCCCATCATGGAGCTCTCTGGGGCCTGCCCTGGAGAGGGACTGAGCCTGGGAACCTTCCCTCAGAGGGCAGCATTTTACCCCCATTCCTTGGGAAGCCAGGGAAGCCTTCCACACAAATTGGAGTCTGACCATGACCTTCTGCTTTGGGTCCTCATGGTTTCTTTTTATAGTGCTGTGGGCCAGCTCCAGTAGCCCTGGCTCACTTGGGGCCTGCTGCCTGCCTTTCTGATAAGGCCAGGCTCTCACATGCTCATCTGGAACCCTCTGTCTAAACAACCAGAGCTGGGATGGGGGTGGGAGGGCAGCAGGATCCAGAGCTTGGGAGTCTCTAGAGAATACCATTGAGGCCAGGGGGAGGAGGCCTCAGAGTCATGATCCCTTCAGAGTCTGCCTCTGAGCCCCAGTGGTGGGCTGTGGTCGGTCCCAGTGAGGACCGACCCGTTCAGCAGGGCCCACGTGTGTATTCCACACTTGGTTGAGAGAGGAGCAGGGGTGAACATGGAGGACACAAGCCCAGCCTGACTGGGGAGGCCCCTCTGGTGGAGTGTGAAGGGGTCTGGCCACACCTGCCTCAGCTTGATCCCTGCTTCAACAGAGGGTCTGTGAGGTCTGGGACAGGGCAGCAACATTGCTCCTCTCCTCAGAGCTGGCTGCAGGGACATACACACTCTCCAGTCTGGGCCTTTGGTAGGCTTTAAGATCTAGGGGCCATCTGGGGCCTCCTACTGGCCATCCCAAGTGGAGCAGAACCATGGGGCGAAAGGGCCTTTTCCAAGGTGGGATTCATGGGCCCTGAGGGTGGTTGGGCTCCCTCTGTGGAAACTTGGCCTGGAGTTGGAGTTTTGGTGCTCTCAAGGTATGTCGTGAGATTTGCTGAGATTCAGACGAGAGGGGTCAGGCAGGTTTAACTCAGGCTTAGCCTCCCCCAGCTTGGCCTTTCTTCCATGGTGGGCTCACTGCCTTGCTTTATTTCTCTCTTGGCAGAATACAGAGCCGGAGCCCCGGAGCCTTGCCCTGGGCGGCCATGTGGGCTTTGACAGCCTCCCCGACCAGCTGGTCAGCAAGTCGGTCACTCAGGGCTTCAGCTTCAACATACTCTGTGTGGGTGAGTGTCATGGCCTGGTCAGGGGCCAGCCTGAGACAGAGGATGGATGAGAACCTTCTGGGAGAAGGGGCGCTGCTGCCCTAGCTACCTGTTAGCTGCAAGAGGGCTTCCCAGACAGAGAAACTTTGGGGGGGGGCAGGAGAAGGGTTTAGTTGGTATCTCTGCCAGGGTCAAGGACAGAGTTGGAGCCCTGGCCTGACACAGAGTTGTCATGAAGAGTAAACAGGATTAGGTACATGAAAGTGCTTTTTAAACTGTGGGTGTTTATTATAGAGGTTTAGATTCATTTATTCATTTTTTTATTTGTTAAAAAACATTTACTTATTCCTACTATATATCAAGGACACTACAGTAAAAAAGACCCTGCCTTTCATCATAATATTATGTAGTAGAAGCCCCAGCACACATATGAACAAATACAAGCCCAAACAGGGAGGCTCCATGTGAATCAAGGCCTGGGACTCCCAGAAGGGCACAAAGGGCTCTGCCAGACCCTCTGCAAGTCCCCCTTGGGAAGTAGATTGTTTTGAACCCTTCCTAGTTAAAGCTACATGAAACTGGGGTTGCCCAGGGCATGCAGGCCAAGCCATTGGTGGCTTCAGACCCCAGCCCTGCTGGCCCCATGACCATCCTGAGCCTGGGGGGGTAGCGCACAGAGCAGGCTATGCATTAGGACCTTGGGTCACACTGAGACCAGTGGAGGCTGGTGTCCAGTGGTGTGTCCACAGCTGCCTGGCTCTGCCTCTTCCCCATTCCCTGAGGTTACACATTGTGTCCAAGCCCGCCTTTTGGCTCTTTCTTCAACACATTATTTCTGAGGCTACTGAGGAAGGGATAGTTCCTGGGCAGTGGGGACAGTGAAGGATGGAGTGGGAGGCCTGCCATTCTCTCTTGTATGGGGCTAAGGGTGCTAAGGGTATCTGAGCCCCACCTGGCCTAGCCGCCAGCCAGGGACAGCCTGGTTCCAGCCTCAGACATCCACTTCTCCCCCGTCTGTCCCCACTCCCCAGGTGAGACTGGTATCGGCAAGTCCACGCTGATGAACACGCTCTTCAACACAACCTTCGAGACTGAGGAAGCCAGCCACCATGAGGCGTGTGTGTGCCTGCGGCCCCAGACCTATGACCTCCAAGAGAGCAATGTGCAGCTCAAGCTGACCATCGTGGATGCTGTCGGCTTTGGGGATCAGATCAATAAGGATGAGAGGCAAGAGGCGGGCCTCATCCCAGCCCACCCACGCAGCCAGGGTTCTAAACTCTGCCCAAGCACTCCACTCCATGCTGCCCCCATACGAATTGTCCAGCCCCACACTCCAGGGGGCCAGGGGGGCCCCTCAGGAATATCTGGGGTCCTGTGGTCACTAACTGACCAGGTACTCCTTGGGGGTGAGGGGAGGAATCAGGAGAAAGGGCCAACCACCTGTACCCAGACAGGGATCCCCAGGCAGAAGCTATTTGTTCCCAGGAAGAAAAGGCTGGTGCATAGCTTGGCTTGGCTCTGAGCCCCTCACACTGCGTGGCACAGCTGCCTGCCTCCTGGGTGATGGAGCTGTCTGTAGTTACAGGCCCATAGTCGACTACATCGACGCGCAGTTTGAAAACTATCTGCAGGAGGAGCTGAAGATCCGCCGCTCGCTCTTTGACTACCATGACACAAGGATCCATGTTTGCCTCTACTTCATCACACCCACAGGGCACTCCCTGAAGTCCCTGGATCTGGTGACCATGAAGAAACTAGACAGCAAGGTAAGTGCCCCACTGTTTCCCTGGGTTCCTGGCCTTCCAGTGGGATGGGATGTGGTGGCTGCAGCTTGACTGTCCACTGTGGTCCACAGGGAACTGGTCGGGGCTTGCAGGCAGCCCCACTGGCTTGGTCCTCTCCATATTTTATCTTGCATCTGTCTCTACTGCTCCAGCGGGCCCGCATTGCTCTGGGCTCTTTCTCCAGAGCCCTGTCCCCTGGGTCTGGCCCTGAGCCCCTCCTTCCAGCTAGTCTCATTCTCAGCCCTGCTGACTCCTCCCCTCCTCCTAGAGTTATCTCTACCTCCCTCTGAACCTCCCCAGAGCATCCCCCTTCCCATCTCAGCTTCTTCTTGGGGCTCATTTCTCTCTCTTAATTCCTAATATCTAGTTCCTCCCTTCACTTCCTCTTTCCTCCCTGGCATGGATTTCCCCTGGGTTCCTTCCGAGCCTGCTAGGGAAAGGGGAGTTAAGACCCAGAATTGGGATGTGAATAAGGAGTGGGTATTCTGAGGGCAGAGAGGAGAAGGAAGCTTCACGGGGACGACAGGAAAGGTCGGGGGTCCCGGAGGGCGTGTGACCCCACAGTCATCTGTCAGCTCTCATATGACTGCCCTCCCATCTCAGGAGTTCATTTTCATTGTGAAAAATGGGATAATCTTGGCCTGGGAGATTTTGAGATCTTCCTATGGCTACTGCTGATGGGTCATCGTACCTGCTTAGTGAGAGCTCAGCTCCACTACTGCTGCTTCTTTCAGGACTCAGGCTGCTTAAGACATTCAGAACACTATGGGTCAAAGCTGGGTATGCTCTGTGGGGCCAGTTTTGGAGCTGGATGGTGGTTTGTGGGACCCAGGGCTGTAAGAAGCTCTGCAGCCGATTGTTACAACCCATCAGAATGGCCACAGGTGGCTGGGTTTGGGCCAGGACTACCCATGGCAGCAGCTCCATCTCTCTGGCTTCTGATCCACAGTCAGAGAGCCATTGCTCAAAATAGCCAACTGACCTGCTATCTTCTCCCCTGATCCTGCAGGTGAACATAATTCCCATCATCGCCAAAGCTGACACCATCTCCAAAAGCGAGCTCCACAAGTTCAAGATCAAGATCATGGGTGAGCTGGTCAGCAATGGGGTCCAGATCTACCAGTTTCCCACTGATGACGAGGCTGTTGCAGAGATTAACGCAGTCATGAATGTGAGTACTGGGCAAGGGCCTCAGGGCTCTGAAGCCAGTGGGCTCAGAGCCAGCACAGATCTCAGACACAGCTCAGGACACTCTTATTCCCCAGGACTCCAGCCTTAGCTTGTCCAGGACAGATGGGTGAGCATCTGGAGCTGGCCAGTCCTATGCCCATGGGCAGGGGACAGGTGGAATCTGCTTTGGGCCTGCACTGGGGTTCCCCAGGTTTGAGTGTCACTAGATCTGGACTCAGGGCGGGAACATGAAACCCGTAGGAGTGAGCAGGCACGAGGCCAGGACTTAAGAACCTGGAAGGGAGCCAGGCTCACAGGTGGTTTCAGGGAGCCCTAACAGCTCCTGGGGAGCCCCAGGGCTGAATGAACACCCCAGAGAGTCGGGAACACTGGGGAGGGTGGTTAGGCTTCAGCCCACTCCCTTGTTTGGAGGTTCTAGGATCCTTCTCCAGAAGAGAGTCAGGAAATGAGCTTCTGGCCCCAGGGCCTTTGATCAGGTCTGGCAACCCCAAGGCAGTGAGTGAGAGTCTGTCCATTAACCTGAGTCAGCTCAATACTCACGCACACTCGGGCCCCTTTTCAGGCACACCTGCCCTTTGCCGTGGTGGGCAGCACCGAGGAGGTGAAGGTGGGGAACAAGCTGGTCCGAGCACGGCAGTACCCTTGGGGAGTGGTGCAGGGTGAGTGTGTGGGGGAGAGACATCCCCAGCTGGGGACCTGAACTTGGCACCCTGTCCCACCTGCTGCCTGTAGCACCTATCCTGTGTCCTCCTGTGTCCACCGGTGCACCTGCCCTGACTTTGTGCGCTCTGCCTGTAGCACCCTGACCTGTTCTGTCCTGTGTCCTCCTGTGCCCACCTGTGTGCCTTCCTGATGCGCCACATGCCTTCTGCTTCCAGTGGAGAATGAGAATCACTGCGACTTTGTGAAGCTCCGGGAGATGTTGATCCGGGTAAACATGGAGGACCTCCGTGAGCAGACCCACAGTCGGCACTACGAGCTCTACCGGCGCTGCAAGTTGGAGGAGATGGGCTTCCAGGACAGTGATGGTGACAGCCAGCCCTTCAGGTGACAGCCTGCGTGGGGAGTGAGCCTATCTTCATGGCCGCAGCCAGACTTGCCGCACTGGCATCTGTCCTCCAGGGTCTTCTGAGCCAGGCAGGGGCTTTGTGACCCCAGCAGCCTCTTACCCCTTGCACCCACGTGATTCTACATCTCTGGCTCTGCTGTGCCCCATTCCGCCATAACCTCACTCTTGGCCTCTCTTCTCTGGGTCTCCACAGCCTACAAGAGACGTACGAGGCCAAGAGGAAGGAGTTTCTGAGTGAACTGCAGAGGAAAGAGGAAGAGATGAGGCAGATGTTCGTCAACAAAGTGAAGGAGACAGAGCTGGAGCTGAAGGAGAAGGAAAGAGAGGTGTGTGCCGGGCTTGGGGGTTGTGGGGAGCACAGTGAGGGTGGTGGTGGGAGGGCCTGGGTGCTTTCCCTGCCCATGCCAAAGTTCCCACATCTTCTGTTCCCCCTACCTTCTGTACCCCCTTCTGCTCCAGCTCCATGAGAAGTTTGAGCACCTGAAGCGGGTCCATCAAGAAGAGAAGCGCAAGGTAGAGGAGAAGCGGCGGGAGCTGGAGGAGGAGACCAGCGCCTTCAACCGCAGGAAGGCTGCGGTTGAGGCCCTGCAGTCTCAGGCCTTGCACGCCACCTCACAGCAGCCCCTGAGGAAGGACAAGGACAAGAAGAAGTAGGTGGCGGGCCCTCCCCATGCTGGCTCCTCTCTCCTGCTCCCGGCTTCGCTTCCGCTTGTTTCTGGCTCCTCCCCACTGGCTCGCCCTCCTGCTTGCTCTCCCTCCTGCTTGCTCTCCCTTGCCCCTTTTCTGTTTTGCTCACTCATTTCCACTTGCTCTCCCACCTCTTTCTTCCTTACTTTTCTTTTTCTTTTTCTTTACTAGGGATCTTGATACCTCACGGTCCGGGTCTCTTACATGTGGGCATTCTCTCTTGCACGAGTGGTCTGTGCTCCAGCGCTGCCTCTCCCCTTCCCTTATCCCTCTTCCCTCGCCCTCCCCTCAGGCTCTCCCTTTCTCCCAGTCCTCCTCCCTTTCTCCCCCTCCCTCTTGCTCTCTCTTTCTCCCTCCTTTGTTCTCCTGCAGCAGCTGGGGACTCTGCTGCAATGTGGTGAAGGCTGGGCCACAGGCAGGAGCAGCTGAGAGGGTGTAGCTGTAGGGGTCTTAGGGAAGGTCTTTCGGAACAAGTGATGGACAGGGCCTGGGAATATCAGCATTTCCAGCCAGGTTCCAAAAGCTCCTGTGGTTTCTGCTTGGACAGTCATGGCACATCCTTCATCAGTCTTTGAGGCAGTGGGTGTGGGATTCATACTGGCTGGTAGGTGGTGATGGAGAATAGCAGGGACTCAAGCCCAGCCAGCACTGACCCCCTGGACACTATGATCACACCTATTTTGAAGGGCACGTGGAGCTGAAGAAAGGACAGCAGCTCCCTTTAGGGGCGCTGTGGGTTCTGCTAGGGAGGATGCTGCCCCTGGAGTAGAGGCTGGAGTTGTTCCTTCTGAGAGGTCAGAGAAAGACAGGACAGCAGGGAGGCTTCCCCAACCTCCAGGACTGCAACCAACTTGTTGACCAGGTGGGGGCAGCTCTGAGTAACTTCTCCTTGGTGGTTTCCATAGTCTATTTTCACACCCTTAGCTGGAGTCCGGATGTCCTGGCTACCAGGGATCTCCCTCTTCCACCCCACTTCATTCAGAGTCCCACGCCACCCCTGTGGGATCTTGGCCATCCCTGCTTCTCCCTGCCACTGGCCTTATTAGGTACCATCCTTTCTCTTGCCAACCCTGAAACTAAGCAGGTGTATCCACCTGGCCCTCAATCTTGGCTCCATTTCCTCCTGAAATGTTTGGGGATGTGTGTACCAAGGCCCCTCCTTCCTTGGTGGCAGTGGAGTGTAGTGGTTTGGGCCATGAAGTACATAGTTAGCTGTGGCCCTGGGATGCTGTTGCTGGCTTTTAGCACTCCACCTGCCCCATCCACAGTATTGCATCCCCTAACCCACACAGCACATGTGCACACAGGCATCCACGCAAACCATCACACTTTCTCTCCTGCTCCATCCTATGCAGAGACTCAGACACTTATCTACCAAAGCACACAGTATATATATTCAAAGAGACAAGGACACATGCTAAGGAAAAGAAACTAAAAGGCTTCTCCTTGGGGAAGGCCAAGGGCACAGAACCAGGCATTTAGGAATTAGATGCCAATTCTCGTTCCTAAGGCCTATCCTCTGCTTTGAGACAGACTCTCCTTTTTGTAGTCTCCCCCATCCCCATGCCTGGTGGTCCTATCCCACTGCTGGCAGTGCTGGGACAGATGAGCCCCTGACTGTCCCCAGGGAGACCCCTAGCGCCACACTCTCCTCAGCCATATGAATTTCCCCTCTGCTTTGCATTTGTTTCCATCCATGGTCCCGTGTCCAGCTCTTGGCTTGGTGAAATGTGGGGGTTTTGTGGGTTTCAAGCTGGCAGCTCAGAAATCTGGTTTTACTTGGCCCAGGCTGTCTTGTTAAAGAAAAGGTAGGCAGGGCCCCCAGGAAGTAAGCTATGGAGAAACCACTCAGAAATTGAAGACAAGAACTTGTGGCCAGGTCAGGGTCTCGGGATAGTGGGGGTGGGGTGCAGGCTGGCTTCTGGGCCACCAACACAGCTCTCAGGGTGGGGGCTTGTCACTGGCGTCTGGTCTCCCTGCCTTTTCCATGTGGCCTGGACTCCTTGGTATGTTCTCCAGGCCTGGGCCTGGAAAACAGGTCTTTTCTGTTTGCTGGACATGCCAGAAAGCTTCAGTCAGTTTGGCCTGTGGAAGAGAACTCTCTTCCCATGCTGGCCTTGCAGAGGCCAGGGGTGGGGTAGGTAGGGTGGCTGGGCACCCCTTTCTCTCACGCTGCTCACAGGAATAGGGCGAGTCAGGAGTGGATTTTTGGGGGTAGGGGTGGGGGCATACTTTTTATGACCATTTAGTTGATTGGCTTTGATTGATTGTATTTATTCTTCAAATTTTAATCCATTTTTGAAAAATTACTTCCCAATCAGATCTTGACCCTCAGCCTGGGATGCCACAAACTGAAGCGAATTCTCTGCTTTGTTCGTCCAAAAATGCCAAACTGCCTGCCCTTTCCCAGTGTCCATCTTGTGGTCTTTTGCTTCTGTTTGATTTGGTCTGTGTAACTGTTAATGTATGTGTTTTTGTTTTGTTTGTTTTATTTTTATTTTTCAGTTAACGCACGCACAGACTTACATGTCAAGAGTGGACTTAGACTTTCATGTGTTAAGTTGCTTGAGTTACACCTTGTGGCCCTTCTCCCATAACATGGTGCGAGGATGGACTGGGAGCCGGTACAGACTCCAGTGTTTACAGCCTGCTTTGCACCCCTGCCCCCAACCTGCCCCCAACCTGGCCCCAGGCTGCCCTGGGCCTGGTGGGCCACTCCTTTCTATGCAAACATGTTAAAGCCATGAATGCTGGAATCCAAAACTTACGAGGTTTATTTTTTTCAGAGCCAGTGGCTGGTCTTCCATTTACAGTGTCACTATCCCTTGATGGAGCAGTTATATGTGCCGCTCTAGTGAAGGCCCCAACCGGCGATGCTAGGCCTAATTGTTCAGCGTCAAGATGGCAACTCATGCGGTGCCCTAGGTGCAGCCACGTGGTCTGGTATACATGCTGCAAAATTCATCTGATTCCCCTTCATTTTAATTAATTTTTCTAACCTAGAGCTTAATTTCAATAACTTTAAAACACTTCTAAATTTTTATTTTGGCACCAGCATAAAGACAAATAATATCCTCTCCCATTATTTTCATAAGTAACACAGATTCCCTGGTTTTTTAAAACTAAAAGTATCTCTAAACCTTTCTTATGTATAAAGCACCCCTATAATATACAGGGAGAGGTGGGTAATAAACATCCTGTACTGACAGTGTTTGGAATTTCTTTACAATGAAAATGGAACATGAACAAGACCATGTCCAGTGTTTTTACTGTGAATGTAAATGGAACAGCAGCCCAAAGCCGTTGTCTCTGTGCCCCAGAGGTGCTACCTATAAACCAGGACCAACTCTATGTGTGTGTGCTAAGTGTCTGACTCCAATTAAGACTCCCAAACCAATCCTGCACATTGCAAATGGAGAGTGCTCAGTGGGGAAAAAGGCTGTTACCTCGAGGTCATTGTTTCTTCTTTCCTGGCTGAGTCACAGGGCAAAGACATGAAGGTGTCTGACATATGTAGACAATTTAAGAGTAAACTAGCAGCAAAGGAGCTTTTCCCTTTCAGCTGTACTCTAAAGGGCAACATTTTAAGAACATACTAGCAGCATTCGTTCTTCTGTGCTCCTGTTGGTTTTCAAGCTACCAGGAATATCAGAGTTGAGAATATGACCTGGCTAAATGAGAGATGAAAAATGATTAGATGAAAGGAAGGATGTCCTTTAATGTTGGTGAAGCACTGTGCTAGGCACTGGGGCTACCCAGAGGAACGCTCAGTGCTCCCCTCAAGGAGCTCACAGTCTAGCGCACTCTAGCTGGAAGAAGCCTTAGGAAGTGCTGCTCATTTATTGCCGGATTGACAGTTTGCTTTTCATACCCTTATCTTCCTTCCCCTTACTGTTTACCCTTTCCTGCCTGGCCTGCTTTATTGATTTCTAGGACCGTGTCCTGGCTTCCTCCTGCCCTTCTGGGATGATGTTCCATTCAGAGTGGGGCAGAAGGGTGAACTGCATGCTTCCACTGAGGCACGGCAGAAAGAGGCAGACTTTACATGTGAGGGGCTCCACATGCCAGGAGTTTTACTGATGTTCAAAGTGAAAAATCTCCAAGTGTTATGCCATGACCACAGGTGGATCCAGATTTGTGGGGCTGAAAGCTTGAACTATTTAGGAGACTTATTTAAGAAAAAGAGTATGATATAAAATTAAATCTAGGGCCTTGGGAAAGTGTCCTGAAGATTGAGCTTCATTAGCTTCACAAAAAACCCACCTCTGGTTGTGACTGAAAACTGATGCTTCAGTATGAGTATCTAAAAAGGTAAATGAGCATATCTAAGGCAAATGTGGGCTGTGAGTAGTGCATCTTAGGGTAATTTATATGTCTGAATGTATATTCAGTTAGGTCAAAGCATGACCTTTATGATAGTCTCTCTTGGCTAATATATTTCTGAAAACAAGGCTCAATGACCCAGCAGGTTCACTGGTTACATAAGCAATGAGGACTCCTGGTTCTAGGGCCAACACAGAGACTCTAGAGTGGGCAGATTCTGCCTCCCATCCACTGCAGCCTGCAGGCGGTGCCCCAGGTATACTGCAAGACCTTCCCAGCATCTCTGGGGAGCCCTGACAGACTTGCATTTTCTGGGGTCTGAGCTGCCTCCACAGGTCCCGTCAGCTTTAGCAAGCCTCACTCCACCTCTCCCCCTGCTGTTTGTGTCTGGGATTTTGTCATCTTTAGCTGAGACCAAATTAATCCTTGGTAGTCCTGGAATGTGACCCCTGTCAGCAGGATCTGATTTACCCCTCTTTTTTTTTCATTGTCACTTGTCGGCATTATTATGACTGTCATATAGGATCATGTTGGCATTTACTATCTTGTTTTTCATGAATCAAGTTGCTTTGGGTAGAATCACCATATAACTTATTATCCAAACTAGGACTTTTGAGAGAGAAAGGGGATGCTGTTAATAATTATGCCAGGTCAACAGGAATAAACCAAAACTGTCCCAGGCAAACCAGGATGTATGATCTCCCTAGTTATGGGTAAGCTGAGTCTAGACATTGTGCAGACTGACTGCATATGTTTGTATATGTCTATGTGTGGGTCCTCTGTTAAGTGGGGCTCATATTACTGGCTATCAGGCCTGAGGGAAGTGTGGCTTGCTAGTGTGTTATGTTAACATGCTTTTCTAAAACTGCTTCACTTGTTAATTCATTTACTCCGTCATTCATTGACTGTTTTTGTTCCTTTCCATTCACTTTGTATTCATTTTTTTTTCATTAAATTTTGCATTTATTTTGAGTTTTTGTGGTGTCTTTTTTGGGCATTTGCTTTTTCTGATATAACATATTTTCTGAGCCTATTAATCTGCTACAGTTGTGGTAAAACACAGCTTGTCTTTTCTATGAACTTTGTAAAGGTCAATCTACTTCCATGGTAATTATGTTTCGATAGTGAATCCTGCTATGGGCATCTATGAAAGGCTCTTGGGAGGGTGTGGGATTGAGGAAAGAGTCACAATTAGGAAAGGGAATATGCTGCCTGTGGCCCGTGGATCTTTATTGGGCAACTGGGTGCAGGGCACGGGAGAAGGCACACACTGTCCTCGAGGAGCTTACATCCTTACCAAAGGAGGCTTATCATGGGACAACTAACATTTGAGTGCTTATTGTGTGCCAGGATTGCTCTGAAGTGCATTACATGCATTAACTTATCTTCATCCTAATCCCATGATTAGGTACCATTATTCTCTCCATTTTATAGGTGAGACACAGAGACAGTAAGTAATTACCCAAGGTCACACAGCAAGTTCCAGGAGGAGCTGGGATTTGAATATTGGTAGTCTGTACTCTTAATTGCTGAGCTATAGCTGCTCCTTGGCATCCAAATGGGATGATGAGAGAACAATGGAAATGTGGCCGGTGTTAAAGTGGACTGTCTGACAGTGTGGGCTGGTGGACCCAATATGGTTCTGTAGGGATGGGAAGCTCTGAGGCACAGGCCAATGTCTGGCTGAGGAAAGGCAGACTGGTGGTAGAAGGAAGTGATAACAAGCACATGGGTTCATTTGTTGAGGAGCTTCCTCCATTGGGCACTAGGTAGATTCTGGGAAGACAAAATGAGAAAACGAGGACTGAGGTTGGGGAGCCTGGCAGGGAGACTGGTATGCAGACATGCCTAATGAAGGTGTAGCTCAACTCTACCTGTGGGAGGCAAAGTCTTCACCAAGCTTTGAAGGACAGAGACTCTCCAGGGAACCAGGGGGAGAAGGGCCTCCCGGTAGAGGAAACATTGGAAACATTGCATAACTCAGCTCACCCGTTTGGGGGAAGTACTATTTGGACAAGTTTAAGAAAGGTCCATGATGCTCCCCTATTCTGCCTCCCTGAGCCCAGCTGCCTTTCCCATTGCTATAGCATCTGTCTCTGAGTTTTCTCCCATCTCCACTTTCCGCAGTCTCATTTCTTTGCCAATCCCTGCCTTCGGTAGGTGAGGATAAAAAGAAGATGGATTGTGTCCATATTTCTCCTCCAACAGTGATTCCCAGTCTCTTAGCTGTGGTGGAATATGAGTACCTCATATCAGGAAAAAAATGTTAGAGGGGAGTAGGATGGGACCTGGGATCCCAAGGCAAGTTTGAACAGCATTCAAGACTTAAAAAAAAAAAATTCACAAGTGGCACTTTGGCAGTACAAAAGTTAACTTCCCCAGAGAAGAGTTTACATTTACAGCCAGGTACAGCAACAGTGCTGTCCCTTATCCCAGTACTGGGGCTCACAGGTCTACTTTCTACTTTCTCCAAGAGATTGGAAGTTGGATCAGCTCTGGGGACCCAGCTTATATCCAGAGCCACCTGGTTAAGAGGTCCAGATGCCTCCCAGCAGTTCCCCAAAGCCTGAGACAGCCAGAGCTGGTGTGGGCCCTCAGGATGAGCTCCTGCCCCACCTACTGCCCACTCACTGGAAGGAGGAGGAAGAGGCAGTCATGGCCACCACTGGAAGCTGTGGCCATGAGCAGCATGCTGTCCTTCAGCGTCTCTATCTGTCAAATGGGTGCTGGACTAGAGGACCGTTTTGTTAGGAGACCTAGGAGATAGTGTTCTAAGTACATTTGACTCTAGCAAATCTAAACGCACAGCATCCCATAAATGCAAAATAAGATTCAGATAGCATTGAAAGCAATTAAAGTTTATTTTTGCAAAAGCTCCAACAAGGAAGTGTGTGTCAAGAAAAGATAGAAATGTACACTGATTCTGTAGTATAGACAATTATAGTACCTCTGGCCCTTGACCACTTTGCACCTAGTAATAGATCATATCCCCCATCCCCCATGGCTTAGCACATTTACAAAAAAACTGTTCACAGAGGAAAGACTTCACAAACCACCTCTAAATGAGTGGCTCAGTCATTCATATCCCCAACACTACTTACACAGCTCCAGCTGGCATCATTGTCAGCTGGACTCCACTGCTTAGAGAATGGCTCTATAGTATCACAGCTTCAGAGAGACAGCTGGCTTCTCCCTCACAGCCATGCTCGTAACCCCCTCCTCTTCCTGGCAGCACAGTGGCTGGAACAGGCTCGGCCTCAGAACCTGCTCATCTCAAAAGTTTCTCAGAGCTTCACCTCCTCGTCATAGGTGTTAACCTGTAATACCCATGGGTTAGCATAAAATTTCTCTAGTTAAACTAATAATTTAAACTACTTCATTTAAGATTAATAAAGGAAAAGTATGCTTAAAGCTTGCTCAAGTTACTGTACATTAAACAAAGCATACTTTATAATTTAGTCCTTGTGAAGAGAAGGCATATGTCATGGTCATGTCAGGATAAATGTAGCTGTAGAGACTGTCCCATTTTTGGAGTGGCAGGCAGGGTAGCTGACTTGAAAGACTGCACATGTGTTTGGGATAAGCCTAGGAAGTTGAAAGGATCTGCCCAGCTCTGGCCCTTCATCCCTGAGCAATGCCCACCTTCTGGCCTCATATTCCAGCTCTTTTAGGGGCCAGTACCAACCCTTGCTGGAGAAGGAAGGAAAAACAAGCTGTAGTTTGAGCATTCATTCATTCCTCCTGGTTTCAGGCCCAAAGAAGAGGGAGCAAAGGCAGGGTCATGGTCTGTCCAACCACTCTTACATCTACAGACCCCGACCTGCCTCCCCCTCCCCCACTTCTAAGGACTGTCAGGAACTTTTTCTCAGTTGCTCTTCCAGGGCCTTCTTCCCTTCTTGTTACAGGAGTCATAAAACCAAAGAATTCATAGGAGTCCAAGCAAGAAGGGTTCCCATTCTCTGAAGGCACTGGGGTAGGGGTAGAGAGGCTGGTTGGCAGATGAAACAGAAAATTGTCAGTGTAGGAGGATGACTAAAAACTTCTCAGCTGCTGCTTTACAGGTTCCTTGCAGCAGTTGTACTACTCAGTGCTGACCTGTATTAAAACTGAATGGCCATCCCTGAAATAGAACTATCTTACATTTTAAGAAATAGGCAGTTGAGTGCCATAATGTTAACACAAAGCAACTTCAGGAAGGTCTAACCACCCAACTTAGGAGTATTAACTCTACCATCTGAGGGACAGCCATGTCCTACATCAGTAAAATGATCATTAGTCTAACTAAGCATTTCATCCTAACCTATCTTTCCTGAGGGATTGTGACCCCCTACACCTGACTCATGGTACCCCAGTGCCGGGCACCATACACTCATACAGAGCGTGAGGGGCCTGGAATTTATACTCCCCAATATTAAGCTCAGGGTTGTTTCCTCCTGAGTTGAATATGTCCATCTCCCCTTCTGTCCCCCCCCCCCCCCCCTGCCATTCTCTTGGCTACAAGGGCTGCCATTGAGATAAAGTTTCTTTCACTGTCACAGAAACCCACCCCCAATGGTCCAGTGAAGAGAACACATGTCCCATACTCGACTTCAAAGAGCATGGCCAACTGTGGAAAGCCTAGCCCTCACGAAGGCTCGTCACAGAGTTATCGTGGCCAGAGCACCTTTCTGAGCCCACAAGGGCCAAGAAAGGTCATGGGTACCATTTGGGGGCAGAGTGTGTCAGCTAAAGAGGTAAAACTCAGAGCTCAGTCTGGGGCAAAGTTGATGTCTACCTGTGCTTTCTTTAGCAGATCAGATATAGGAGTACACCAGTCGGGCATGAGCCTCTCCAACTCTAAGGTGATGATGACCAAGGCCAGTGTGGAGCCCTTGAACTGCAGCAGCTGGTGGCCCGCCATACAGTGCTGCAGCTGCCTGGTCAGGGATGCGACGTGGAGGGAAGGATTCCTCTGAGGCAGCAGCTCCACCACATGGGGCCAGCTCAGGACCACCAGGGCGTGGAATTGGAAACTATGATTTTAATGTTAGAACAGAAAACCCCATACTTTTCATATATTAATGACCAAAAGTGCAAACAATTTAAATTTCCATCAGGAAGCAGGGAGTATCAAATGTTGCCCAACCCTTTTCATTCCCATCCAAAGCTCCACAAGGGGCTTGAGGCTTAATGCCCATTCTGTGGCCAAGCTGTTTCAACCCTGGAGAGAAAAGACAGTCTGCTGTGTGATATGATCATTATGAGCCTAAAGTATCTAGATGACAATGTTTCAGTTCTGAAAAATAGAAACATACTATTCGAGATCAAGGTAGCAGAAAAGTTACTTGTATCTGCTTGACATGAGAAGAAACTCTGCAACTTGGCAACAGTGGCCAGTTTTCATAATGAAACAGCCCTTAGTGATTTAATCTTCATGCTTCATAACAGACCAAAATCCCATGACATTTTCCATTGCATAATTTTGCCTTACTAACAGAATCATATTCTGAAGGATGACCATCATTCCCCTAACTAAAACAAATACAAACTAATGTATGATATTTTTTTAAGTGCCAGATCAATATGGTCTAAAGCCTCAATAAGGATTGTGTGTAGGTAAATAAAGACAGCTAAGTGAATGTGTGTAAAGTGTAGCAAAAGCAGACAGCTATTTATGTACAATATTCATAGAATGGAAAGTTAAATATTTTTGCAGTGTGCATTTAAAAGAGAAACTCACCATAACAGTGCCATCTAAAAATCTTTGTAAAGTTAATTTAATGTCGTTTAGAAGTGGGAGTCTGGTGGAACTGTGTTGGATTTAAGATACATTTTCACACTTCTGTATGTCGTGAGCCTTGTGGGTCACCTCACCGTGGTGCATGTGCAAGGACGTGTGCACGCCTGTGCTTTGCCATCCGATGTTGTGAACAACTGTTCCAAAGGCACAAATGAGTCTCGGGTAGACTCTGCAAACTCCTCATACTCACTATAGTCAAGAAGTCCAGCGGTGTCCCGATACAGAGGTCCCAGTGCAGTCTGTCCAGAATAGCCAACTCCATCCTCAGCAGCTCATTTGGGGTATAGCCAGAGCCATAGTGCTTTATGAAGTCTTTTATGCGTGGAATTAACTGTAAAAAGAAAATAAAGAGGACAAAGCCCTACATCATGTCACAGTAGCTTTTGTTTTCTTATCCATGGGGACTGGGCATCTATGACCTTAGTAGAGTTGTCTTCCAGGGGCCTGCCACAGAAAATGTTTCTGAAAGAAAAACTAAACCAGATCTTGGCTATCTGTCAAGTCCCCAGTAGTTCTGTAGTGAATGTTAATTAGTCACCCTCTGCAAAAAGTCTTGATCCCCAATTGCACGCCAGCTTGCCAGCTCAAACCCGAAGGTTCTTGCTTCCTGGTCTGTACCGGACAGGCCTATTGATAAAACCTCCTATGGTTTTTGCAGCATCACAACTGCAAGCACATTCCCTTCAACCTCGATTGAATGTGGTTCAGTTCTGGAAAAACTATGACTTTCCCCCAGAGGGATTAAGGGTTGTCTATGAACATCCAAGTACCAAGTGCATTAAAGACTTGGTCCTACTTTTTCACATAAACAAAGTACTACTATAGCTTCCAGAAATACTTCTTTTAAGGGTCATTTACTTGATTTTTATTTGGACAAAAGTGACCTGTGGGGGGGCACCAATTATATTCTAGTAAACAGAGTCAAAACATTTTTACTAAAAGTTTGGAACTGGACACACAAGCAACTTTTTTCTGCCTCCTTAGGCCAGACCCAGAGATCAGCCAAGGAAGACTCTGTAGAAATGGCAGTGGTTTCACCATCTCCAAAGCAGGAGAGGGCACAGGGAGGTGGGAAGGTCTGGAAAGAGTCTCAGGAGACAAGAGTATCTGTCCTCATGGACAGAAGGCACAGTGAAACTCAGAAGCAAGCAAGCCTGAAGCCCTTGTGGGGGCTTCTCTTCTACCCCCAGCACATGGCCCTCCTGCCTCTCTCAGAGAAGCGGCCCAGAATCCCTGAGGACCAGTTTCACTGACATAGCCGAGTCCTAAGATTCAAGCGGCTTTCTTAGACAGAGTATCTGGGGGTGGACGTTAAGCCACATGGTTTGAGAGGCCTTTTTCCTAGCTCAACAGCAGATGCCTCTGTTTAGTGGGAGATGGCATCTGGCATCAACCAATGAAGCAAAATGTACCTGCCAGGAGGTCAGTCCTCTGGGTTTGCTGGGCCAGTCAGTTCAGCTGCTCTAATTCCCCATTTGTGAGGCTTCAGAGTCTGACAACCTGAGGAAGGGGCAGCAGAGATCCTGGGAACTTAGTGACTTTTCCAAAATGCCCACCATTCCCAAGGGCACAGACCTTTCAGGAAACTTGAGTGCTCAGTCCTTGAGCACCTGAGTTTCCTTTCAGGAAACTTGATTTACACCCCTATACGTCAAATGCAACCCAGCATGGACTTCCAGGGATGCATACATACTCTTCTTCATTAACTTTTACAGCCAGTCTCAAGGAAATAATTGTGATGCAATTGGAGTGACCTCCTTTTATCTGCAGTATGGAACAAACACTGGAGCAAAATTTGGATTCCAGAAACAAAGTGAAAAGCATCTCTGAGTTTTTGTTTGCTTTTTGTTTTTTCTTTAAGAAAATAAGCTCCCCCTCCAACCCCAACTTTTTTTTTTAAATGACTGTATTTCCCCACAAGACAGAAAGTTAGTGCCATTTTTAGATTTGACCAATGAAGATGCTGATTTCAGAACCACAGATGACTGTCAGTGTTTGTTAGGGGACTGACTGGAGGTGGGAAATATGGCACCTTCTCAGGGAACACAGTCCTATCCTGGCCTCAAAGCAGTGGGGGACAGGTCCAGATGAGCACATCCAGGTGCTCTCATGCTCCCCAAGTCCAACCCTTACAACCACAGGACACTGAACCAGACAGAAACGGAGGTAAGGATGTGGAGAGGTTCTAATCCCAGCTCTACCACCTGGAGTCAGTTACTTAATTTGCCTTGGTTTGAGCATCTGACATTGCTCACCTTTCAGGCAGCAATGGGGAGCAGAGGTTGGTTTCTTCTCCCACCATCTATCACCATCCCTCAGAGGCCTCCTTACCTTCAGAAACCAGGAGGTGGCTGAAGATGGTGAGAACTAGGTTAAAAGTGGCCCGAGAGAAGTCAAAGATGTTCTTCAGCCTCAAGAACCACAACACGACTCCCTGGAATGCGTCACGAATTTCAACCTGCTGGTAAAAGGGGTAGGAGTGGGCAGAGCAGGTCGTTGGTGACCAGTCCCGGTCCACCAATGGTGGGAGCCGCCTGCTTAAGGTGACCAGAGGGTTTGTGAGAAGCCCTTACCTTCAATCCCGGTGAACTTAAGTGCCTCTCTGTCGCCCAGCGGCTCACGACTCCTACCCCGTCCCGCGCCCCTTCTCCGTCCTAAGCAGAGTTCCCCAACTCAAACAGGCGCTCGTCCGAAGCCCCTACCAAGACACTCCCCAGTGAGAAAAGCAAGCCAATGCCGCCATATGCCTAGTGCGGGGGACACACCTGGGGAAGGGCCCGTCCGCCTCCCGCGCCCCGGTGAGGAGGGCCCCGCTGCGGGCGCCGTGCCTGGGGTTTGTGCCCCGGCTCAGTCGCGCATGGCGGCCCAGGGCCGGTTTCAGGTGGGCGAGCGCTGGCACTTGTCCAGGAGGCCACCTCGGTCGCACCGCAGGGGCCGCCGTTCCGGCTGGGAGGGACGCTACGGAGCCCG